CGAAAGTTCCTAAAATATTCGATTTTTCGTTAAATTTTCAAATAAACGGTGAATTTCATCAGGACAATTGTCCAAAAGAAATTAAAAAGAAATGTACGCCACTTCAGGGCTATTGAAATACTATACATATAGTGACTCTGCAGATTTGATATAGCGTTGTCAGCTTTCCCATGAGCGAATACCTATCTTTATACCTAAAGTGAAATTCTGAAATAACCAATCATTGGAGATACATCCTACATTCTACATTTTAATGCTATGCCAAGTTCTAAATACTTCACGAAAGTCGTAATAATTCGAAAAAGGTTGAGAATCACAGAGTGTCCCATTCAAAATAAAAAACATGTCTATCCACTTCGGGTTCAATTGGAAATGCCAGGCCTCTGGTGATGATTCACATCGAATGGTTAATGTTGACAAGCCATGGTTTCCAGAGTTCACAAGGTATGAGATTCAAATTTGGCAGAGGTGAAAAAATCTTGTTCTTCTTCTTGTTTTTTTTACATCGGCCTTTTTCTGCTACTGAGGCTAATCACCGACGCCGGTGAGCACCCTACCCCCAACCGGAAATTTTGCCGAATCCTCTGGTGTTCCCACCTGAGGTAGGAGTCCATACTGTAGCTTATAGGTATGACAATGAGCGTATTATGGCGCTGACACGTACCTGTTGTGTTGGCGTGAAATTAATGACATGAATTGAGATCTTTTCTACCTTGAACGAGAGAGAGGAAAGTTCTCTCTTCTTCCATCTTTCTCTTCAATGCTATCAATCTGGCCGCATTGAAATGTAGAGAGGTCCGATAAATATTTCCTTGTCTAACCTGTAGTCTGCGCCACTGAGCTATTTTCGATGTTATTCGCGATAGAAAATAACACGTCACTCCACCTGACGGTAACTACTTGAACTCTGGACGGTTTGTTTTGATGATGTGACCAATAAGCGCAAACAAAAAAAATGTGAACCAATGAAAACAAAGTGATCATGCCGCTTTGATAGCTTTCAAGAACTCTGATAGGTAGCGTACGCTTATTTTCTATCGCATATAATCGTGATGTTCTTTCATTCTGAACTAACTGACTCATTTCACTTATTAAACTGAACTGAATCAGTTGACATGCATAATGAACGTCATTCGAAAGAACGATTCAGTTCAGTGCTGGTGAAATATTCCAGTTAGTTCAGATTGAAAGAATATTACTAATGATATTCTTTCTCTCAGGAACTGACATATTTCACGTTTCACTTCTGAACTAAATCATCTAACATGCATTCTACCAAATCAAATTCTTTAGAGACAACACATAATAATTGATTCAGTTCAGTTCTTGTGAGATATTCCAGTTAATTCAGATTATAAGGATGTGATAAATGTCTATGACATGAATGTCATAAGCTTCCAAATTTTTGAAATCAAATTACAGATTATATCATACTTATTTCAATATATTTCGTTAATATCGTTAATTTGACACTCTGTTGGATTCAAAAATAGTTCAGTGGCATAAACTATAGATGTTAGACAAGGAAAGATATTCCAATGCGGCCACGTTGGTAGCATTGAAGAGAAAGATGGAAGAGGAGAGAACTCTCCTCTCTCTCGTTCAAGGTAGAAAAGAACTCAATTTGAATCATACCGTGATAAGCTCGCGCCAATTCGATTATTGGTATTCCTCGTTCCCACCACCGAATTGAATTTGTCCGGCAACGGCGAACCGCACTGGAAGTACTGACAGGCGCATCGGACGTCCAATGACGTCACCGAAGAAGCGGCCGACGGTTCTCGAGACACGTTCCTCTGCTTGGGCGGGATTTTCGCACCTGCGGACAGCGATCTCTTCGTCTCCGGCCAGTTCAATGTTTCCGGCACACTCGCGAACCTCACTTTTTGTGTTTGCGACTCCATTTCGATCTTAACGGCCGCTTGGGATTTTTTTTCTTCGCCCTCGGACGCGTTACATTGTTGTTTATTGCCGTGTTAAGTGACTCGCTCAAATATCCGCGGGTCACTAGCTAATTTTAGTCATTTTAGTGCGCGGCTATTGTTAGATCTTGGAATCCGACATCGTCCGAGCAGCAATGGGTATTTTTATTTTCGATCTTGGCTAGGTGGCCAATCGGGTTTTGGTCTGTTTTGTTCTATTTTTCGCGATCTCCGATTTTCAAATTCTTTTCCGTGGAGATTTATTGTAGGGAGGAAGCAATTACTCGTACAGAGCTGGGCAGTACTCGAGTACAAGTACTCAAATATATTGTACTCTGAGTACATTTTGTGTACTCAGTATACCCAGTACCCGAGTACATTTTCAATAAAGTACCCGGTACTCGTACCCGTAGCATTTCGGGAAAAGTACCCGGTACCCGCGTTTATTAAACGAGTACATTTTCCGGGTACTTTTTGCAAGAATAAACTTGTCTCTGCATATGCGAGTGTAACACGGGAAACCGCTGTTATATGTTGTATCATCATTATCAGTCAGCACTTCAATCAGAATCAAACGCGGAGTTTTTGTTTTGTACACTGTGTAACAGTTAATATAGAGTCAAGTGTTTTTTGTATCGTTTCTGTTGTTTTCTAAGACTAAACCACACTAAACTAAGAGGTAAGGGTATAGTATTGCAAGTTAAGTTGTTTTGTTTAATAAATATGGTTACTAATACTGCATGATGCAAAATTTCTCAATTCTCTATTCAAATGTACTTGAAATGAGTACCCGTGAAATTCGTGTACTTGTACTCGGAGTACTTTACTCTGAGTACATCCAATGAGTGGGGTACTCGGTACGACTCTGTACTCGTTCTTCAATTATAAACAGTACCCGGTACCCGGTACTCGAGTACAATTTATCAGTACCCGGCCCAGCTCTGCTCGTAATAAGGGAATGTTCTTTGGGATGAAATGATTCTGAGAGAAACTTCATGAAATGCCCCTAGATTTTCCTCGTCTTGAGAATCTAGGTTTATCACCATATGTTAGTGGAACCATAAACCACTTTGAGATTAAAAGGTGTTGCGATAGTATGCAGAATTGTGACGTGATGTCTTTCTATAGCATAGACGTCGGGTTATGTGTCCGACTTACTCGCAAAAGGTATGATCGATTGTTGGAACAGTCTATACTTGTACACCTTTTGTAGTCCTCAGCTATACCGGGTTACAGGGTATACCATAAGTCGGCGCACCAGTTTTATTATTTCAAATTGAAACCTGCATTTTGTTCGAACGGTTCGATTATGATTCTGTGTTGAGAAAATCTAATTTATGTCAACTTATCTACCACATTTTTCGAGATACTTATATCGATTTTTCTGAATATTTTTATCTCTCCAACCTTTCAACATTAGAGCAACAAATTTGTGGAAATGTTAACTGGAAGTCAAGGCTCAAAGATGATGTCCCATCGATGGTCTCATTTTGTACCATATGGGTGAGGGAGATTTTCTCTTGTCGCATTGAAAAATAGCCGAAAAGTCAACTATACCTACTGGCACCTACTATTTTTTTGACACCATGATACAACAACATCGAATTTGAAGAGAGATGATATCTAGGGGACTGCTGAGAAACTCTAAATGAACTGGGCAGTCAGAACAGACTGACTCTAGCATGGGTACCAGCACATACAGGGTACGCCCGAGCAGGAGCAAACAAAGCAAGAGAAGGGCAAAAGAGTTTATTGAAAAAAAATCGCCAACATTCACAGAATATCTACTGAGCCAGAAACGAAGTTCAAATAGAATACTAGTGAGACTTTCTCACAGGGCATTGTTGGCTCAACAAACACATGAGTACGATAGGTGTGACTGAAGAACTGCTGTGTAGGTTCTGTCAGGAAGAGGAGGAAACAGCAGTACACATACTTTGCCTCTGCGAGGGCTTGTCAAGACTAAGGTTCCTTACGCTGGGTGAGGAAAAACCAGGAGCCCAAAGATACACAGGGGATCTGAAAGCTAGCCTATGGAGTCTCATAGAGAAGGCGGGGCTAGCCGAAGAACTCTAATCGATTTTGTGGGCAGACACAAAAGATCTGAAAAGGTGTGGAGGCAGATAGCCCGAAGGCCCCATTCTAAATCTAATCTAATGTATGTCTAGAGACTGTCCAATTGAAACATTATTGTAACTCTGACAATCATCATCCGATTTGAGAACATCGTAATAGTTATTTATGTACCAAGGACGAGAAACTGTCTAATATAGTCGAGGCGGCAAATTGATTGCCGAGGCTAGCAATCAGGCGAGACAATTGACAGTTTTTAGCCGAGGTGCATGTCAAATTTTTTCGTCGAACTCAAACTCTTATATCCACATCACGGTCCTATTCTCACGTGAAATCTATATCGGATTTCGTAAATTATTGATTTGACAACAGCAAATGACAGTTGTTGTCAACTCACTCTCCGCGCGGACCAGGGTTGCCAGTTCGATTTTTATTCCATCAGTAAATACCTTGTCAAAAATTCAATAGATTTCAATAGATCTGTTTAATATCTAGTTTATGCTATACGAATTCCAAGAAAGGATAATCGAAATAAACCTATGACGTCAAAACATTATGTACTTTTAGTGAACAGAACCGATTTCCAAAATATAAACAAACATTCTCATACAAAAATAATCATATTCCTAATTCTCAATTCAAAAATACTCACAAATATCACAAAATACAGTTACCTATAGGTACTGATAAGATTTGAGTATCTTTGCGAGTCAAAGAAAGTCACTTTTGATCCGAATGAAACATGCTATTTTTTTTGCAACCGAAAGAATAAACTCAAATAAATATGCGAAGTAACCATACCAATGCCGTGCCATATCTATGCAATGCAATAAATAATCCGTGTGGTAAAAATATTCTACCTGCATTTACAGCAGGTTTATGCAATTTTCAAGGATGTTCGAATTGTAGTTTCAATATAAATACAACCACAGAGTGACATGTAGCATCGTTTCTCATAAGATAGCTTCCAGATAAATAGAAACAAAGCCATGATTTCGATCTTACCTTGCTTTAGACCACTTGTTGTCGTCCTCTTCAAGAGGTGAACTCACTGCCTCAACTGCCAACTTCTCTATCTCACTCTCGCCTGCAGCGATACAACCGGCATCACTGCCTTCGAACGAACCTTGTGGCACCTCCACGTCTTCATAGCTGCCGTCTCCCATCAACTTCGCCTTCTTCCTGAAAGAAACTTTCTTCTTCAACTTCGGACTTTCGGGCTTATCTTCGGGATGGTTGGTTTCTTCAGTTAAGTTCGAAAGAGTTGGCAATTCGAGTCTGGAATCTTCTTTGGCCTCCAACGTCTTTGCAGCTTCTGGAGTTTCAAGTATCTCGATGTCTATTTGATCATAAGAGTCTTTGGGCATAACTGCTATAGTGGTTTCACTCAAACCATCCTCTTCATCCACTAAAGTATTCACTTCACGTGTATCACTTCCTGCTTGTTCTATCCCTTTAATAGGTGGTTTACGGTCTAGTCCTTGTAGTGTTGAAATTGCAGAAGAAGAATATTCCAATGCAACTGCAGAAGATTCTTTCTCCGATTCTTGTGAGGCCAAAGTGGTTGACTCGTTATTGGCCTCTGGAACAACTCTAGAAGAATCAGTTTCCATTTTTTCTGGGATCACTTGAGTACTGGCTAAGTCTTCCAATTTGTTTTCAGAAGCTAGGGAACTATCGTTATCTGCTAATTTGTCGTCTATTGGTGTTGTATCATCAATGTTTTCTAGGAAAATTTCCGGTTTTGTTGAGGCAGTATTCTCACTAGTAGTTTCCTCATCAACTTTGAGCAGTTTTTGCTTTTCTTTAGCTGGTAGTCCATCGATCGCTCCTTTTGCTAGTTCTTTCAGCTCTGTGATTTTGTTGCCGAAGAATAGTTTGTTTTCTGAGATAGGTGTTTCCGGTACGTCTGAACTGTTGTAGTCTAGTAGTTCGTCGTCTGAAGGAGCTGTGAGTATGATCAATTCCACTTTACCTGGTCCTGGAGTCGGTGAATCAACTTCCGGAGTTGAAACTTCATCAGTGTCCTTCGCGTCAGGTTTATCGTCGTCTGCATTTTCGTCTTTCAATGGAATGTATATGTAAACGGGCGCTACTACTGGATGTTCTTTCTTCTTTCCTTTGGGTTTCTCCGGTGCCACTACCTCAGCTGGTTCGTCTTTCTCTTGTTTCATGTTCGGTCTCGAAAAAGCCTTCTTGATTTTGTCCGAGGCGTTCTTCAGTTTCTTGAGCAGACCTAGTTTGGAAAGGCTTTTTCTGCTATAGGCGCTCTCTAGTGACATTTTCCTTTTTCTTTCTGGCTCAGCCGATTTGGAACGCATGGTTCTATCACGTGGTTCGGGTTCCTTTTTGGTCACAGAAGATGAGGCTTTGAATAGATCATCGAACATATCAATGTACTGCTTACTGCTTTCTCCTTGGTCTTCATCATCATCTCCAATCTGTTTTGTCTTGCTAGTATCATCACCTAGTGGATCATTTTTTCCGTGATCTGGATCATCTTCAGGTGCTTTTTGTAGATTAGTTTCAACAATTTCCTCTTGTGTTTCCTCAGTCCTTTCTATCATATTATGGGTGTCACTTATATCATCTTGTAGTGGACCTCTTATGGCTGCTTTCTCATTGTTCCTGTGATCTAGAACATCTTTAGTTGTTTCTTGATGAGTTATCAGTTGATTATCCTTAGCGTTTTCTTCATCGTCTGAGTGGGTTTTGCTGGTGTTCTCAGTAGTTTCCTCACTTATAGTTGCTATATCTTTCTGGTCTTCGTACAAATGTTTGATACCTTTAACGGCATCTTTGAAGCTCCGCTTTTTCGATTGTACTTTTTTCGAGTCTCCTTTGTTTTCTGGATTTAAGTCTGTTTCACCTGGCGGTGGCTTGAGAGGAATGTGAATGTAAACTGGTGCGACTTCTTTCGTTGCTGCTACTTTTTTATCTTGCGAAAATGGTTGTGTTTTCGGTGGGGAGTTAGACTTTTTGGGAATTGTTTTTCTGAGTTTGCTTGTCGGGAAGGATAATTTCGTTACTTTGACTTTAGCTTTGGCGTCTTTGATTTTTTTCATCACCGATTTGCTCAGACTCAATTTGCTGTGGTTGCTATTTTCGGATACTGTCCTTTTTCTACTCAGCCCTTCTTCTGTCTGAACTTGTGCTTCCAACTGCGTTCTTCCTCTGACAGTAGTGGGTTCATCTTTGTCTAGGTACTGGCTGATATCATCCGAGCTCTCAGCTGAGTCTAGAAAAAATATCCCAGCCCTTTGACTCTTCTCGTCCAAGAAACTCCCGCTAACTCCCAGTGAACTACTGCTGTTTTTCAGATGCCCCGGAGTGTCTGATAGCTCGTGGATGTCTTCGATAGTCTCTGCCTCTTCTAGCATCAACTCCTCCCATTCAGAAGGCTCTCTTTCTCTTTCTGTCTCTCTCTCCTCCACCTTGGTTTCTATTTGATTCGGTGGGGGATCCATGGCCTCACCGAGTGGTTGCTTGTAGAGATAGGTCCATGGATAGCCTCCTTTTTTTCGAGATCTTCTCACGTCCTCCCACCTGTAGGTCTTGATTGGTACTCGCGGATGCTTTTTCTCTGGAAAGAAAAGAGAAGAGTTTATATGGAAAAGGGAACCAAAGGTGTTTTTACTTGATGAATTCAGAGTTCAAGGAAATGTATGACCATTCTGAACAAGGTCCATCAAGAAAAACACCTTGAGATAATATGTTGTGTGTTGAAACACTACTGCCAAAAATCAATGTTCTTACAATTTTTTGGGTTACTTTGGAAGCGAGTGAGTGAAACTTTCATTGCTACGAAACGAACGTAATCGTGTTGATATAAATATAGAGGTCCGATGATAATTTCCTTGTCTACCATCTAGTCTGTGCCACCGAACTATTGTTGATGTCATATACAGGGTGTTTCAAAAAAACCTGACCCCCTAACTAGGGTAGATAGAACACTGCAAAATAAGTTGGGTTTACTTAGTAAGAAAATTTCGTAACGGCATCCGTTATCAAGATACAATAAGGTGTTGAAAAAATATTTTTTTTACACATTTTTCAAGATTTTGTCGAAACTACTGGCAACATTGTGATGAAATTTTGTATGGATGTTTCTTGGAATCTGACACATCGCATGCATTCGTTTTTATATCTGACTCTCATAGAGGGCGCTAGTTACACGGTTCGTACCAAGTAGTTTTGAACATAACTTTTTTGAGGTTAGATTTTTCGATCCAAATTTGATGTGAACTTAGACATCATTCAATTTAAAACCAAAAAGGTACTCTTGGTAAAACTCGATACTGTGTACCGTTTTCAGAATATTTCGATTTGAAAGTTTATGCTACATAGGTAAATTCACGTCAAGAGTTGTAAGACATAATTGTACATCACTCAAATGACCTAACAGCTGATTCTCAACTGTTTAAAAGAATAAAACATTCTCAAGAAAAGAAATTAGAATCGTGTATTCGTCGAAACGTAGGACATTTTGAACACTTACACTAACTGATTCAATATTTCATGTTTCTAGTCAAATATCTCTTAATTTACTACTTATGACTCTTTGTTCCATCAATAACTCCAGTGCAAGAATGATTTTATTGTTTTTGAATCTGAATAAATAGGTAATTGAACTCAATAATATTCATTTTATACCAGCATAGCTATTGCTCCATTATTTTCAAATCGAAATATTCCGAAAACGGAGCATTGTATCGAGTTTCACCAAGTGTACCTTTTTGATGTAAAATTGAATGATGTTCAAGTTTATATCATATTTGGATTGAAAAATCTAACCTCAAAAAAGTTATGATCTAAACTACTCGGTACGAAACGTGTAACTCGCGCCCTCTATGAAAGTCAGATATAAAAACAAATTCATGTGATGTGTCAGATTTCAAGGAACACTCATACAAAATTTCATCACAATGTTGCCAGTAGTTTCGACATAATCGTGAAAAATGTGTAAAAAAATAATTTTTTCAACACCTTGTATCTTGAAAACAGATGCCGTTACGACATTTTTTTTTGAAACACCCTGTATATGTGTCATAAATAATAATCATGTAATTGACACCATTTTGGTTCAATCTAGAACCAAAAGTACGTTCTTCTGAGATAAAAATAATCAATGAATTGTCAACTTGACCCACCAATGAAAATATTATAATAAGGTTCTTAATAATAGAGAAGTTCAGCTAGAAGACAGCGATACTAGGAAAATTTCGTGGATGGATTGTCAGCTGATGCAAGACAGACTGTTGCTGCTTTTTTCACTCTTGGATCGCACGAAAGGAAATTCATATGATGTTCGTGGAACATCGCGCGTACCTAGGGAGGATAGGGAGAGGAAATGTCAATAACTTTCGAAAAGTCACGTGACTTGAGACCGAGTACGCTTCATATTTTTAAAAGCAAAACTTGTGTTGGATTTTTTTTGAACTTCTAGAGGTTATTCGTTCTTGAAAATACTTCCATTGGCAAATAATTCCAAAGCTTCGCCGTTCTATAGGTGAACGAGTTTTAGTAGATTGTCGATATTATTCACGGTTAACAACGAAGGGATGTGCTGACTGGGCCTGTATAGTTCGTCTGACTGGTATTGCTAGTGATGGAATGATAGCAGAGATTTCTTAGGAACATTTCCCGTGGAAGTATTTATAGAAAAGTGACAGGTCGCTGACTTTTCTACGGTGTTCTAATGGGGTCAAAGGGATTACCGACAATTGGACGTGGTCAATTGGACGCACGAAAATTGGACGCGGATAATTGGACGCGGCGACAATTGGACGCGGCGACAATTGGACGCGGCGACAATTGGACGCGACGAAAATTGGACGCGGCGACAATTGAGCGCATTCGAAAATAAAAATAATTTTATAATTCCAATGAAATTTATTGCATGGAATATGCAGGGCTCATATCTATAATGTAGCAAATACCTAACCTAACCTAACTAACCTAAAATATTGTACTATATTCGTATCGTAAATTCATATTACGATATGAGGAAAATAATTGTCAAACGAGGCCATAGGTATTTGTTATAATGTTGGATATAAGCCCATCAGTATTTCATATTTTATACAATGAATTTCATTGGAATTATAAAATTATTTTTATCTACGCATGCGTCCAATTGTCGCCGCGTCGAATTGTCGCCGCGTCGAATTGACGCCGCGTCTAATTAACGCCGCGTCTAATTGACGCCGCGTCTAATTGACGCCGCGTCTAATTGTCGCCGCGTCCAATTGACTGCGACAAATAGTCGTGCGTCCAATTTTCCACGTCCAATTGACGCGACACCGGGTCAAAGAGTTGGTGAATGTGGCATCACCCACCAGGCAAATGGCTCTCCTCCTCGCTCTCCTCTGGATGGAATCTAACAGCATCAGAGTATGTTTGGGTGCTGAACCCCATACATGAGAACAGTATTCTAAAACTGGTCGTAAATGTGGTTTGTAGATTATGAGAAGCAGTTGTGGTGTAAAGAAGATTTTCACACGGAACAAGAAACCAAGTTTTTGTGAAGCAGCTTTTGCGATGGATCGTACATGATTTTCCCATGAGAGAGTATTGCTGATGGTAATACCGAGCAAAGATATAGTGGTCTTGATGGGAATGGTGGTACCAATTTGTTATGTCAGGCATACTGAGTACCACCTGTCTAGAGAAAATACAGGCTTGCGTTTTGATATGATGTTGGTTCCCCAGGCTTGAATTTCCGCAAGTTCTTCATTGACAGCGTTGGCCTGCCTTCTTCGCAAGTTATTAGTTTCCTAGGAAGAAACGGGAAATCTAGAAGATGACGCAGAATGGAGAGGACTCTCGTCTGCAAAGCTGTGGATTGGTCAAGTGGTTCATCCCAATAGATGGTTGATATGAAGTAGGAACAATGATGGTGCCAAGAATGATCTTTATCATTTTGTGTTCTGTTTTGGAATTCAACTTTCAACTTATAGTGATTCATTCAAGCTGTTTATTGTAAACATGTCAACTGACTCTATTTGTTTCAGTGTTTTTATCCCCTCATTTATAAAAATAGAAGATCAATAGTCATGTTTCGGCAATCAGAACTTCGATTGATTAGTAAGATTTTCTCGGATAAATTTACTCAGCATTTCAAAACACGTTGGCTAAATCCCAAATACTCCGTATTCATCGTCTGAACTGAACTAAAATCATATAAATATATCCACTATTCATGGCTGACCTACGTATATAATTATTCGATGTAGGCGGCCATGCCTATACATTTAAGGTTAAACTTTCAAACATTGTGTTTGATATATTATGATGATGGCCTCTACCCTATTAGATTAGATTTAGAATGGGGCCTTCGGGCTATCTGCCTCCACACCGCGACCTTTTCAGATCTATTGTGTCTGCCCTCAAAATCGATTAGAGTTCTTCGGCTAGCCCCGTCTTCTCTATGAGACTCCATAGGCTAGCTTTCAGATCCCCTGTGTATCTCTGGGCTTCTGGTTTTTCCTCACCCAGCGTAAGGAACCTTAGTCTTGACAAGCCCTCACAGTGGCAAAGTATGTGTACTGCTGTTTCCTCCTCTTCCTGACAGAACCTGCACAGCAGTTCTTCAGTCAGACCTATCGTACTCATGTGTTTGTTGAGCCTACAATGCCCTGTGAGAAGTCCCACTAGTATTCTAGTTGAACTTCGTTTCTGGCTTAGTAGATATTCTGTGAATGTTGGCGATGGTTTTTTAATAAACTCTTTTGCCTGTCTCATTCCTGGCGATTTGTTCCACCATTCTTGAGATTTGGTTTGCATCCATGATTTGATACTAGTCTTTTGTATAGCTTTCGCAATACCACAGAAGGGTTCCTGGCCATTCAGAGCTTTGTTTGCTCCTGCTCGGGCAAGTGAGTCTGCCTCTTCATTGCCCTCGTACCCTGTATGTGCTGGTACCCATGCTAGAGTCAGTCTGTTCTGACTGCCCAGTGCATTTAGGGTTTCTAAGCAGTCCCATACTAGTTTCTCTACCCTATTAACAATACACCATATTTCGAAATGAAGCATTCAAAATTCTTCTTGGGTTTCAAAAAATTACCAGAATTACTCTGCGCATATGCTTCACTTTGCTCACGGACAATACATATGAACAACTGCAAGTGCTATTGTGATTACCTTCTCTAATTTGAGTCCTCTGACCGTAGAACTGATGAAGGCTAAGATTTTATTGACGGTTGAACCTATTTTCCACCTTAGATAGATCTGTTCTAGGTGCTTCAGCTTTTGGCGCTTGGACTATCTCTTTGAAGTGGTCCCTCAGTAGGTATAGTCTCCTGTGAGAAATCATATATGATGAGCTTTTGCTTTGGTTTGCCGAGGTTGGGAAGCTCCTTGGCTCTTGGCTGGCAGAGTAACTCCTGGCTCTGTTTTGCGAATGGTTGAAGAACCTTTCCGCTTATTGACCTGAATTTACTCTCCAGTAAAAGGACTTTCCAGTTTATTTTCCAATTCCTGAGTTCTGTTTTTCTTTTCGACGTGCTACCTCAAGAAGCATTGTCTTGTGAGGAAGTCTGTGATGAACTTCAGCTTCGGTTTGCTGAGGCAGAGTAACTCCTG